GGGTGGCCAGTCCAGGCTTTGGACCCAGGGAGCTGATCCCTGCCTCTGACCTTGGCCTTCACACCACCCTCCCTCTCTGTGCTGGTGGGACAGTGGCCTGGAGTGGGCACCACCTGTGTCAACCATGACCTTGGCCCCTGGATGCCACAGGATAGCTCTGTCCCAGTCCTCTGGCTGACACTCCTGGATCTGGACCCAGGGGACAATGCTGAGGTGGACATGGGCTGGAAGCTCCTCATCCCCCCAGACCTAAGGCAGGTGAGCACAACTCCTGGGCCCAGTCCCTGTTTAGCTCAGAAGCCATTGCTAACAGCACTTTCTGGGAGCCATGACCTGCCCAGTGCCTTTGGATCTCATTCCCCTCCTTATGACTCCCCCCTCTCCCCCTTTCTTCCCCTGGTGCTGGGGACTGACCCTGGGACTCACACCTGCTAGACAAGTGCTCTACCCCTGAGCTATGCCCCAGTCCAGGACTCCCCTTCTGCAGATGGACACACTGCAGCACAGAGAGGTGAGGTGACCTGTCTGAAGTCACACAGTGAACCAAGAGCAAAGCTACCTCTGGTTTTGGTTTTGGTTTTCTGCAATGCTGGGGAGGGAGCCCAGGGCCCTACTCATGCCAGGCAAGGGCTATGCCCAGGAGCCACACCCTAGCCTCTACCTTTGTTTGTAGCTTTAGAAGATAAGGGCTCCTTCCTGTGGGTTATTCTTTTATTTTTTCTCTCCCCCTGCCACTTTTTCCCCTTGGCCCTGGTCTTTACCCTGTTTCCCAGGCTGGGTTGGACTCCTGGGCTCTAGTTATCCTCCTGCCTCAGCCTCCCAACTAACTGAGACCACAGGCTCAGGCCACTGTGCCTGGCTGTTTTTTTTTTTAACAGAAAGCAACAATGATGTCATCACATCTCTCATGTCCACAGGGTTTCCTGGTCACCACCCTGGCCATTGTGACAGGCGTACTGAGGATGAGGCTAAGCAGCTGGTCCCAGAGTGCCCTGACCCTCCCTCACCTCTCACGCTGGTGTTGGGTGCACGCACAGCTGCCCCATCTCACAGTCCAGGTGCTGAGGCTATAACTGGGCGCTGTCCCCAGATCAGCTCTGGTGCCCTTAACTGCATGTGGTAAAGGGTGGGAGAGGGGTGGGCCTTACCTAGACATCTGTTCTCTTTCTCATTAGTGAAGTTTTTTGCTTCAGAAAGGAAATCAAATCCATGGCTGCACGTGCAGTAGTAGAAGCCCTCCTCACCCTGGCAGTCACTAAAAAATCCACAGAACAGCGTCCAGGGAAGGAAACATCCGTTGATGTCTACAACATAATAGGATGAAAGGTCACCTTTCAAAGGACTCCTGTCCCCACCTATCCCCCTAGCATGGGGCTAACATGGAGTTAGTACCTATTGGAGAGAATCTTGGGCTTCACTGCTGAGGCTGTGCTTTGCCTGGAGCAAGCCTTTCCTGAAGACCACACAGTCTGCTCTGTTCATCTCAGTCCTCTGGCTGACATTTCCAGTTTGGACAGAGAGGACAATGCCAAGTTGGGGGTTGGACTAGAAGATCAGCATCATCCTCTGCAGTCCTAAGGCAGGCTGAGCCCAACTCCTGGAGCCCAGGTCCTCTCTGTGCAAGAAGCAATGCAATTCCCTGGTCTCTTTGCCATCTTACTCTTTCCTTTCTCTTTTCTGTCTTTGACCATGGCTTTCAGGTCAAAGGCTCAGCCCTTGATCATTACCCATGACCCCACTGGCACTGGGCATCCAGCAGTCTCTGATGTGTCCTGGCCCCTTCCACAACCTCTTTACCATCACAGGTCTCCAGGGG